AGGGGCGAAGAAAGGGAGAAAGGTGCTGAACTTGCAGAAGCAAGTGGCAGGTCTGTATCATGAACCAAACTCACGGACACGTTGTCACAAAGAGAAGGGGCCTGGTGGGGCACTGAGGAAGGACACTTTTGTTGATTTTGTTAACAAAGCCATGACAGATGCTTCCAGAACCATCTCTTAAAGTTAGAAATTAAAACTAAGTGGTAGGCAGGCTCACTCTACTTTTTACTGCCATAGGTTTCTGGAAACCACAGTGGAAAACACAACAGTGAAAAAATCAACCTTATTCCTCCCTCTCTTTGTCTAGACTGTGTTTCCCACTCCTTTCCTCAAGGTCAATGCCAGACGCTAGGAAAGCAGAGTGCCAACTGGACTTGCCTGAGGGCTGTGGAAACTCCAGAAGCAGAGTCTTAAATTAAAATGGTGATTGCCGTGAAGGGTGAGTAGGGAACCGAGATGCTCTCTGGCCCGAAGCAGGGCACCAATGAAATGCGAGCTGGGGGAATAGAGACCAGAGGACATGTCGGATGGGCCAGTATGGAGCCTGCCAGACTAAAGGCAGCAGCGGCGGCTTCCTGTAAGTGCAGGGGTGGAACTGTGTGGCCCTCTCTAAGCTGGGTGTGACATGAGCCCTGGTGTTCCAAGGCCTAGATGACAGCAAGAGCTGTCATTAATGTAGTGAAACAGTGAAACGAGGCACAACGAGGAAAGCATTTCTGGATGGGCAGTACCGCACCTGGGATGTCAGACCCTGGAAACAGGAACTCAAGGCCGCTCAGTAAGCACACTGAGATTAGGGTGAAAATCCTTTCTTTTCTTTTCTTTCTTTTCTTTTTTCTTTTTTAAAGGTGTTACTATTATGACTTATTTTCTTTATGTCTTCTTTTTACTATTTTTATTTTTATTTTAATTGTTGTTCAAGTACAATTTTCTGCCTTTTACTCCCATCCCAGCCCACCCCCCAGCCCTCCCCACCTCCCTCTCATTTCCAACCCCCCTAGTTTCCATCCATGTGTCCCCCATACTTGTTCCTGCAAACCCTTCCCCCTTTTCCCTGAAATTCCCTCCCCTCCCCCCTATGATCACTGTCAGCCGGCTCTCTGTTCCAGTGTCTTTGGTTATATTTTGCTTGTCCACTTGTTCTGTTGATTAGGTTCCTGTTAAAGGGGAGAACATATACAATTGGACATAATGAAAGGACCGTTCAAGGGCCAGGGGCGGAGTCTATGAAATGTTCCAGAAGAAGGTCCGTTATACGTTTCAAAGAATCAACTTGAAATCCTTTGGTGCACCTAAAATTAAGAATCAGTAGGCCCTTTTAACTTGTATCTTTCAGAACATCATTGTCTAGTATATTAGCTCCAACATACTTCCGGACAGGGAGGACTTGCCCCCTCCTAATTCTTCAGGAATGGTTTGGGTGCTCCCAGGGGCACATGATTCAGAATAAACTCGGGAGTCTAAGGCAGGAAATGGTCTGGACCATACCAATGCCATTTGGTAAAACCAAAAGCCAAGACTGATTAAGGGCCTGCCTAGAATATTTGTCATTGGGCGTGCTGAGATTATTGTATTTCAGACTCTAGGCTGTGACTCATTAGTGACCAGCTTGTCCTTAATCCCACCCCTTTGTGTCGCCTTCTTCAGACAGTCTTCCCTGACCACTCACTCTGAGGAGTTCCCCCAATACACACACACACACACACACACACACACTCCTCACTCTGTTTTATTGTCTTTACAGCACACTTACAATGAACTAAAATCTTATTCCTTTATTTTCTCTCTCTTTCCACCCACCCCACTAAAATATCAGCTCTATGAGTTCAGGGCCTGACCGTCTTATTCATTGTTGTATCCTCAGTGTCCAGAACAGTGTTTGCCACTACCTAGGAGTTCAATAAATACTTATGGCATTGAATTTTAACTTCCCTGAGTGGCAGGGGCCAGCCCATGGCTACAGTTACTGTTGTTCATCCCCAAAGCTGGTGTTCTGTCCCTAGGACCTGGCACCACCCTCTCCCTCAGCCTGCACTGACTCAGCACAGGCCGTGGCCCTGGTTCACACACCTGGGCTGGACCTCCTTTATGCAGTGTCTCTGTGTCTGCCAGCAGCTGCTCTGCTATCTGCCCACCTCAGTCTGGCTTCAGGTAAGCTCATTTGCACCTACTCTCCTTTAGGAAGAACTTTTTAAACCTATTTTAAGATACAGCGTTATGGATTTTAACACACATCTAGATCCAAGTAACCACCACTACAATAAGAAACCACCCCTACCCCTCAAAAAACTCCATCATGCTTTGGAGTCACACCTTCCCTCCACTCGTCACCCTTGGCAACCAGTGATCTGTTCTGCATCACTTTAGCTCTGTTCGTTAGAGACTGCCATCCATGTAACTGGGCCCATGGGTCTGAGGCTGGCTTCTTTTACTCAACATTATTCCCTTGAGATTTGTCCCAGTTGTTGCACGGATCAATCGTTTATTTATTTATTTATTTCTATTGCTGAGTATCATTTTCTTGTACAATACCACAGTGGTTTAGCCAATCTCCTGTTGAAGGACATTTAGGTTGTTTCCACTTTGGAGTGATGATGAGTAACACGTACAAGGAAGCTCCTGGTGGCATGATTTGGGGATGCATAATGCTGGAGGCCATCTGGGTGCCTGTTCCCAACAGAGCGTTTGGGGAAAATGTGATCAATGAATGCCATGGGCCACAAAGCAGCAGAGATATGTACAGCATTTGCACACATTAAAAACAAGTGTATACAAAACAGTAGTACAAATTTTGCTGGAACACATATAAAAACAAAAAGTACACATTAAGCATTATTGAGAGGGATAGAAACAATTGAGAGAGAGGACAGAAACAAAATAGAATTTGTTTTAATTTTTTAGAAATAAAATAACACAATTAAAAATTATGTAAAAAGAGGCTGGAAGGTTTTTTGGGGTTGTGGAGAGACTCTTAGCCAACCTGAAGGGGTCTCAGCGGTTGTTAGGTTTGTGCTGTAATACTGGGTAATTTGTGCAATACTGTGTTGTTACATATTTAGTATAATATTTAGTTAGTTTATTTGCCCTCTCATCACCACAAGGGATCGCAAGTGGTCCAAAACCAGTTCCAGGTGCTCCGGTTATGCTGTTTTCCAAGGCAGGCTTCTCGTCAACATCTTTGTTTCATTCATGCCCTGGTTCTGTCTCTCTCTGGCAGGTGCTCCCAGCTTTCATCCTACTCAAGGTCTCTGAGAGCAGGAGAGGTTCTGATTGGTCGCTCATGAGCCTGCATCCAGTGTGAAGCAGCCTCTCTGAGAGATTTCTCCCATCAGGCTACTGTACAAGCAACTAAACCTATGGAAGGCCTTTGGATCCCTGGCCCAGATGGATTATAGGATAAAGGTTAGGGGATTGTAAAATAAAGCATGACTTTTTTTTTTTTTTTTGCATAGGAAACAAATTGATGATGTTTTCTTCAGGACAGAGGAGTGTTGTGAATCTTTCTGGCACTTACTCTCTGACCGTGGTATGGAATGCGCCCTGAACAAAGGAGGTACATTGTGAAACTCCAAGGATCATAGGGACTGAAACAGACCGATAGACCATGCCCCCAAACATAGGCAAGTTGGGGAGTGACCAGCTTTGTAGCAGGAAAACAAGCGCTGGAGTCAGTTCATCTCTAAGGAAAACCCAGCCATTGCCTCTTCGAAATGCATACTTTAGGCATGTTACATTACTAACTCCCTCACAGGATTGTTGCGTCATAATGCATTCGAGTGATTAGCATGGTGATACATGCAAAATAAGTGCTCAATGTATTTTAGTTCCATTTCTTCCTCTCTTACCTGGCACATATTCGAAAGTGCTCATGAAGCTCCCACAGCCTGTATGAGTGAATAGAGGAGCTACAGGCATAGGCTGCTGTTTGCCTATAGCTTTTCCTGATATTTTGCATTAAAAACAAATGCTTCTGAATGTATTAATTTCCTTCCCTTTTCTAAGAATTGTAGCTCATAGGTCAAAACTGGACAGCAGAGTATGTGAGTCACTAAGTCAAAATAAGGGAGAGTAATTAGCAGCAAAACTTCTATAATCCTTGTGCAGGAAGATTGACTGGCTCTGAGGTTTACAGAAATGACCTTGATGAGGTTGCAGCAACACACCTGTCTATGTCCCAAGCTGCATCATTTCCCACCCAGTGCCCCAGTCTGTTATTATAGCACGTTGATTGGGCAGAATCCAACCCTGCTTGACAATTTCTTTTCTTGTTTTCACAGTAATGGGAGCTAAAGTCTCGAAGAAATAAAGGCCCTTGGACCTGCACAAAGCTGCCATCTGTGAGGGGGACCCGTGAAGGCCTGAGGGTTCACAGCAGGAACCCTGGGAAGTCAGTGCTTTCACCAGTAAAAGTCAGCAGAAAAATAGTTCCATACAATGTATTATAGAAGACTCTCATCCGTTCTATTTTATTGGACATTAATTGTACTTAAGATATATGTACCTTAAAAAATGAATGGATGAATGAATGTATCAACCAAATTAAAAGCAAAGGCTTTCCTGTGAAAAAAAAGAAAATGAATTAATGAAATACTCCAGGGAAAGATTGATGTGCTGTGTGCTGTTGAGGGGGAAAATAATGTGTTCTATGTTATTTAGATGAAGCAGAAATATAAGGCCTAAGTCTTAAAGTCTCAATCTATTCAAGCTTTCAAAATTAAAAATCAATTCCCATTAATTTTGACATTGGTGGTTGTTTTTTGCTATTCAAATTTAACATCTGAGTTGGTTCTGTACACGGTCAGGAATTTGGTACAAAACTGAATACTGAAAGCCTGTTTAAAAAGAAAGAAAGAAAAAAGCAAAAATGCCTAAAATGTAAAATGGCTAAATAAAATGTCTAAAATGCCACATTTTAATTCAGGCACTTAAAAATAATAGTTGAAATGAATAGATGCATTAGACTATATTTGCTACAACATAAAGTAAAACTTCACAACGAGAATGTGAAAGTGGTTTTTATTATTTTGGTAATGGTGTCCTCTTATAGGTAATTACTGATACAGAATTTTTAATTTGGTATATCAAATGGGAAAAGCTACATATTAATGCTGTGTCCCCAAAATCCATTTCAGGTACAATTATGCATTATAGTCACTATGTACGTATTAAAAGTATACATGATAAAATACAAAAATTAGAAAGGGTTAAATAAGAAGTTACCCTTGAGTTATGAACATCTAATAAAGTATACCTTTTAGCACACATCAGTGTCCTAACTAAAACACACACAAATTAATATACAGGGTCTGGCACAAATAATGCCCCTTGTTATGCCATAAAAATCTTTTATTACAAAATCATAAGCATGTAATTCTGCAACATAACAATATCACACTCAAGCACACCATATGACATTTTAGGTGAAATGTTCGAATTGCCGTTCATCTCATGTGAGACGTTCACATGCCCTACCAACCACACTCAATGGCGTTACTTCTGCTGGACCCTGTATAATGCTATGCAACTATCTGATCTAATATAGATCTAATATGAAAATATTAAGGCTATAATAACATTTCACAGGTAAAGGCTAAGTTCTGAGACATGAAGGCTTTTAGATAACCCACAAAACAAACCTGAGATATCTTTCTGTTTTGGAAAGAAAAAGCAATTTTCTTACACAGTCAAAGCTTTAATATATAAAGGAAGAATTTAATTAGTGATATACTTTATTGCAATCACCTAGAGTAGATAGTCTGACTAGAATGGTGACCAGCAAATGCATTCTTTCTCTGCAGAAATAAGGTTTTCTGAGTAAGCCAGTAATATGGTTACTGTAGCCTCCAAATTTGGTTATTTTTATTTGTTTTTGGTTTTGCTTTCTTTCCTTTAACTAGGCTATAAACATATTAAATAAGCCAGCTAACCTCCAAGTGCCCACCTGAATTTTTTCTATATATGCACAGCTTTCTCATTGCCAAAAGCACCGGATTAACCAGATTAAGCCCACATACATAAAAACTACATTAAAAACAGATTATAGCACATCTGGATCAGATGGAGTTAATGAGACATCCAGATTGGTAAATGATTGCATATTTTGCCGTATATCATGCAGAGTTATTGTCCAAATTTTTTACGGAAAATTAAGGATGTGTACTATACATGAGTATAATAATTACATACCATGGGTGTAATAATCCCATATATAATGGGCACAAAAACGTGGGTGCGCAGTATACACAGCAAAATACGGTACTTTGCTGCTACGCGTCTCCTAGAATAAATAGGCTAAAGCAGCCCCAAGTTGCTGTCTCAGCCTTGCTAGAGGGGCGAGGGGAGTAGGTAATAATATTTTGGAATTGCCAGTGCCAAAAAAATTAAATGTATTGGTAAGCCTTACTTCTATAGTTGACTTTACAGTGCCTTTAAAAATACTAGCACAAACAGTTTTTCATATTCAAGGGGTACAGCTAGGAGACTTTGTAATCATGTGAAATTTTTGCTAAGAAAATATTTCAAATTACAAAATAGATCTAAAATATTGCGGATTTTTAAAGTCTATTTGGGATTTAATATTGGCACACAAAACATCTTTTTTTTCTAAATACTCATATTTTAAATTAACCTGGAATAAGTGGGGAAATGTTTAACCATCTTTCATCCTTTTCACTTTTTCACTCTTTTCTCTTACCAACCCCCCTTGCCCCCCACAGACAGACACACAGCCACAGTACACTCCTTCCTTGATAATTCTGATAGGATTCCAAAAGCTTCATTAAACAAGCTGTAAGCTCTTAGGCCACTGAACAACTTCCTTCGGACGTTTACAAGCAATGAACATTAAGCCTTTAAACTTCACTTGGTACTCTTGCAATCGTCCATCATTTTCTTTAAGGTTTCTGGATTATTTCCATAAACTAAACATACACACTTTGTTCAAGCTTCATGTTTTCACAGTCACCGAAGCGACGGCTCACTGGGTCGCCGTCTTACACAGCTGGCTGCTCTGATCAGCTCCAGTGCCGCACCGAGCGGTCCCCACCCCTGACAGCCTCCCCTGATCCCCTTCTGATTCTGACTTTCCAAAAACACTGACAGCAATGCTGTTTTTTTTTAACCACTTAAAAAAAAATAGGTCTGTTATAATGGGAATTTCCCCTCTTCTTTCCTAATAAAGAGAACATCCAAGTAATTTGTTGCATTGTTCAAGATTCATAGGAAACACAGGTGACATTTCTCTGCCTTTCAATGGCTAATGGTCAGGTTTCCAGTAACTTCAGCTGGAGCTTGGTAGTCACAATGTCTTTAAAATTAAATTAAAACTTAAGCATGCCAAGAGTTTGGAGTTATGACATAGGAACTAGGTCAACTATATATTTATCATTTTAGTAAATATATTGTAAAGTAATAAGGAAGACATCCTACAGACCCAGTTTTTAGATTCTCCCATTGTCATTTGAGTTTTGGATGAGAGACAAGGCTTTGCTTCAACTTGGTCTCCACGTCAAAAATGGGTAGTTGATTTAATCTAACTCATTTCATGTATTTGAGCCAAAATTAGTTCAATTAGTTGTACTTTTCAATTTGCTATGACATAAAAGACATAAATTATTCAACCTTTTCTTACTCAAAACAATACTATTTAATAATAAAATAACTAATACATATTGCTTATGAATAATTATATATGTACATATATTGAATTCTATTTGGTGATTTTTTTTTAAAACCTATGCAAAGCATTGAAATTAGTGCATTGCAGTCACATAATTTAAAGCTGGGCTGGTAAATCTTGTTTTTTGGGGGGAAGCAGCATTTCTCATGATTGAAATTCTGTACTTTGTCAACCAGTACAACTTTGGATGTCTTACAATTTAACAACTTACATTTTAAAATTCATGATAAATCACTGAAATGCACTATAATCACTAAACCAACTACTATTGATTTCTTTTCCAGCAAATGACATTATGAGTCACCCAAACAAAAGTAAAAGAAAGCACATCAGTAGGCAAAAAAAATAAACCCATCCACAGATACCACAGCCTAACTAAGCTGCTGTATTGACAAGGTGAGAAGGAAATTTCTGGTCCATATCTTTTCCTTCTTGCTCTCAATCACATCTCTTACCCTGAAATTATTTGCCTTCACATATTCAACAATATTCTGAAACTTTGCTTAATGCGGTTTTCTATTGATGTTCACAACATCAATCTCAGGTCCCACCCACAACGGCCTGGTATTGGAAGTACCTCTTCATCAGGTAGCTCTGCATGTGGGCTCGTATGTGTTTTATCCCTAAAGAATGCTCCCTTGAGAAATTATTACCAGCATTCGACGTATGTATAAAAATTCTTTGGGCCTTTTAACTCTTTGACTCAAAAAAAAAAAATCTTCCCCAAGATCCTGCACAGCCCAGGGCTGATCTGAGAATACTTGGTTGATTTGTGCTCATTTTAGAGGCTGAAAAAGTGGCCCAGAGAAGCTGGAAAATTTTGGTCCCCACCCCCCAAAACTTGAGTACTTCTAAAATTACAGCTTGCTTCTGGCTTCTCACTGGCAGCCTTCCTCAGCCTGTAAAGTTTGGACAGCCCTGTCGAGGAGCTCCATGGACTCTCTGAGAGTGACATTGATTTTAAATGGCTTCGGTTTAATGGACAGACCGTAACTAAAATCCATTTCTGCGGGCTCGTCTGGATTGGCCTTGAAATTGCACTGGTGAGCCAGGATGGAAGTGAAGAGAAACAGCTGCGCCTTGGAAAGCTCTTCCCCGATACAACGCCGTTTGCCCATGGAAAAAATCATCACGCTGCTGGTCAGGTCCTTGTTGATGACGCCGTCCTTGTCCAGGAACCGGGCGGGATCGAAGTCCTCTGGGTTAGGCCATTTTGCTGGGTCATGATTCACGGACCACTGGTTAACGAAAACCACTGTGTCCTTGGGAATGTGGTAGCCCAAAAGAGACGTGTTGGCAGTGGTGGCGTGAGGAATGGTGACCGGCACGAAGCTGGAGAAGCGCATGGCTTCGTAAAGAAAGGCCATGACGTAGGGCAGCCTGGGCTGGTCCTCCAGGCAGGGCAGACGGTCTCTGCCCACAACTTGATCCAGTTCTGCCTGCACCCGAGCCTGCACGTCAGGGTACCTGTTTAGTTTTTAACGAAGAGGGAGGAAATGAGTGAGGAACATTCCTTCTTCTTTCATTTGGAAAGCACATTACAATTTACTTTCATCCCGCTTTCTTTATCCGCATCAGTGACTGAATTAACATTTCCACATCGCCCCCAAAATCCAAAGCAATTTCTTAATTTCTCACTCAATTACAAGATCGGTCAATTAACAGTTACATTTCCTTTCATAAGCCTCTCATGGCTAATGCTCTCTTTCCCAAGTCAAAAACTGTCAAAGTTTCATCAGCCGGAGAAGTATGATAAGGAGCAAGGCCAACCTCTCCACTGGAGAAAGCAGGCACAATGCTTAGGACCCGAAATACTTTTCAGAGGCCTGTGAAAATGTCTTCGTTTTGTTTTTTTTACGTCAGAAGAAAAACAATGAACTTTCAGATCACAGAAAATACTTTAAGTATATTAATATATTTATCTTTATACCAATGTGCTCATATAATATAATTTTAATTTTTTCTTTTTTACGGAGTCAGGCATCTACCAAGACAAAGGCACCCAGGGCCCACAGAGGTTAAAAGGCAGCTCTGAAAGCAGATCCTTTTCCCCCTCATCTCCCTCCCGTTCTCATTTATACAAGGATAATTGGTATGCTGATAGGTGAAGCAACACATCTTCTAAATGTGAAAGCAAATCCCCAATGTTCATGAGATTATGATGCCAGTTATAATACTCATTCACTGTTAGGAACATGAACTAGCAGAATTCTTTTGGACAACAAAATCTTACTACCAAGAAAGATCCATGAGGGTAACCCCTCCCCAGTCTTTTTAAACCTGGTAACCCATACCTAGCAATGTATTTTCGGAAAATAACAAGTAAAAAAATATATAACCACAACAATGGCTGAAATTTTTAAAATGTGAGCAACATTAAAACTCAAGCAATGGCTATATATAATGAAATCTTATTATGGCAAAATATTATGTAACCATCAACAATTACTCAAGTGGACATGTTAGTAATCTAGTAATAAAATGAAATAAACTTTTTTAAATTACTAAAATAGGGTTTAAAGATGGGGAAAATGTCCATTATAATAAGTGGAAATGTCAAAAGTAAAAAAAGAAAAAGTAAATAATTATTGCAACCCTGAAACCAAGTTAAGCGTGTATGTGAGGAAATCACGGGTGATTTGAAAAACTGCTTTGCTACGGCCCTACTTCAGGGATCTGCATGCTTTTTCATAAAGAGCCAAATAGTTAATATTTAGGTTGTGGAACAATGCTCTCTGTCCCAGTTATTCACCTCTGCCTTGTGCTGTCGTGTGACAGTAGCCACAGACAGTACATAAACGCAATTTACGTGTTTTGATAAAACTTACATGCTTGTCCAGAAATGGTTAGTATAACGTACCAACTGATCATACTGTCTTTTCACCAAAAAGAAGAAAAAACGTACTCATCAGCTGTACTGAGTTGAAAGTGACCCCAAAACTGTTTTATTTCCTTTCTCTGCCCAATCTGTTTCTCACGAAAAAGAAAGTCTGTTTCAAAAGATGGCGCGTTTATCCGGGGATGCGAAGGACCTACTGGGGACGTCTTCTTTCTGACCTATTACTGACTTCTCTTTATTGGCTTTCTCTGCCTCCCCCACAGGTGTTTCTGTGGTGATAATACTGAGAAGCGATTTCAAATATACAAAAGATTCAATGTGTGAAAGTGGCCACACAATAGTACCTAAGGGTTGCAGTCTTGCCCTGGATTCTAAGAAGCTGTCTTTGTCTTTCAATATCGGAGGTACCAGCAGATCCTGCATTTCCCACTGCTAACTTGTGCGCCAAGAAATGTCACAACCAGGATTTCTGGTCTCTCCAGGCAATCAAGATTTGCCACGAGCAACACATTTGCCCCGAGGGTAGGGCTGCTGGACAAAATACAAGCCTCCAGTGAAATGTGAAGTTAAGATAAACTGTGGCTAATTTTTTAGTACGAGTATTTCCTATGTGGAATTTATGTAATTGTTAAATCCGTCAACAAGAGATACTGGGAACTTGTTTGACTTGGCTTCATTAAGATCTGTGACCTTAATCGAGGTGGGCACTGGGGACCGGCTAACCAACCGCGCCAGGCCCAGGGGCCAGAGAGGCCGTCTGGATCTGTTCTGGGCTCCATAAAAGTGACTGTTTCTCCAGGTCTTTACCCGTAAGACACTTCTCTTACTCCTAGAGCGATGGTTTTACAATATCCAGCACAATGCCCTGGTTTCTGGCCGCCCTCCTGAAACTTCCACGCACGCTAACCATTCCCGGGGCCCAGTCTGAGGGCCTCTGGGCCGGCTTCTGAGCTCGCTCTTTGCTCAGGATTAAAGCGCGGAGGGGCCGCTGGCTTTTCGCGCCAGGACCAGGAGGCCTCCATCTGCGCGGATGACCGGCAGAGCCGATTGGGCTGCCGTGCTTATTTAACATATTTACTGCATTACCCGTTCTTTCGGAATCGTTCCAATTATGCTCCTCCTGTGCCAGGGAAAAAGAGATGTGGACTGATCTGCGGGCACGTAAATCATCCCCCCCCCCCTAATCCCCACCCAGGGGTTTCTCACAAGTGTGTCCCCACTGGAAGAGACAACCACAAGATCAGAGATGCCGAGAAGTCCGGCTCTGGCTGGGTGGGGTGTGCGGGCGCACGTGTCTCTTCCCTCACCTCGCCTTCCTGAATTGCGGTTTGCGGGCGTACTACATAATGGAAAGGTGGGTTCCTGGAGCGAAACTTCCACAGCTCCCTGCGCGCTGCTCGCGAACTCAGCCTTTCACAGTCCCACCCCACCCTTTACAGGGGGGGAGGAAGGCCCGACTGACGCCTCCCGGCGGCTTTACCTGATGAAAAGAATGAACAGCCACTGCAGCGCGGTGGAGAGAGTGTCCTGGCTGGCGCCGAAGATGTCGGTGACAGTAGATGGCACGTAGTCCATGTCCAGCCGCGCACTGCTGTCGCCGGACTTCTCGGCAGCTTCCTTTCCTACCGAGAGGATGCAGGCGTCCATCATGTCGCGAGGGTGGGCTCCTGGACGAAAGCTTTCTTGGTGCCTCAGGAACTTGTCCATGATAAAATTGCTGAAGTTTCTGTTGAGCTTCTCGAATTCTCGGAAAGCCGTGCGTATCGGGTTAGGGAAGCACTGCAGCCAGGGTAGCACGTCTACGAGGCTGCCTGCGCCCACCGTGCGCCCGAACTCCTCGTTGTGACTGAGCAGCTCGAGGAACTCTGCGTCCTCGTGGCTGTAGCGACAGCCGAAGCACGCGGCGCACATGACGTTGGCCACTGCCACCAGGGTCAGCGGCCGGGGATCCAGGAAGGCGCCTCCTGCGCTGCCGCGCACCAGTAGCTGCACCAACTCGCGCGCCTCACCTAGCACGTGGCCCTCAAGGACTCGGCGGCTGCGGAGCTGGTGCGAAAGGAAGGTGCGCAAAGTGCGGTGTGCCGCGCGCCGCTGCGCCTTCCAGCGCTCGGAGTACTGGCCGAAAGCCAAGCTGCGCCCGCCTGACACCACGCGGAAAGAGGCGAAGGACGGGCGGCTGGCGAAGGCAGCGCCCTGATGTATCAAGGCCTGGCGGATGGCGCGCTCGCCGTTCAGCACCACCACGGGGCAGCCGCCCAGGTGGATTTGGAAGACATCGCCATAGCGCTTCGCCAGGCGCGCGAATGAGAGGTGCGGCGCAGGGCCCATTGCTGCGGCGTTTCCGATCAGTGGCCACGCAAAGGGACCCGGGGGTGAGGACCCTGGCTGCTGCCGCCGCTGCCTCAGTAGCCACTGGGCCACGTGCACGGCGGCTAGCACAGAGAAGAGCAGCAGGAGCGTGGTCTGCTGGGCGGACAGCGTGATGGGCAGCAGAGGATCTTCGAGGCTGAGCCTGGTGGTCATGCTGAAGGGAGAAGGGCAAAAGCGTCACGCTCAGGTGTGCGGAGAAAGGAGCCGGCGTCCCATGCCTCTACCTGCTCGGGCTACCACCATACGCTGCTGGGTAGGGAGGTCGTGGTAAGTTAGGTCAGGGCTGCCTCAATGGAGAAGCAGCTGGAGACGTCCTTTCCCATCCCAAACCCACTCCCCAAAGGCAAAGGGAAGGGGCGTGTTTCCGCTTCTCTGTGGCTCAGCTTCCCCGTGCCCCAGCAGCCGGGTAACGGTTCCTGCAATTCGGCAAGGCAAGCATCGAGGCAGTGGAGCTCAGTTCCCTCTAGGTGCTTATCACCCCTGCGTCTGCACCCCACGCCACCCCCGATCTGCAAGAACCCAACAGAAGAGGCCGCGGGAAGGTGATGCCACGGACAGACTGACCTGCGAAGAGGCACGGTTTCCAGCGGCGAGGGACAGCTGGCTCCGAGAAGAGACAGGGTTTTTGTGGAAGGCAAGAGGTCAACCTGAGTGCTTCCAAAACGCCGGACGCCCGCCCCGACACCTGCTGCCAGTTCTGGGGAGCCTTAGCACTCACTCTGGAGTGTGGAGGCGTTGTCTGAGCTGGGGGCGCTTGGGTTGGGATGAGGATGGGAGAAAGGTGACTCCTCTGCGCAGCCTTGCTGCACGTGAAACCCCAGCAAAGTCGGGGTTGTCTAACAGCGTGGGGATTTAGGTAGGGGTTGGATGAATGGAGTCAATACCTAGCTCTCACGCCCCCGGCGCAGCACTGACAGCTGGAGTCGCAGAGGCGTGGCCCATTTGCACGCAGCCACTCCAAAGAGTCAAAACGCGCCATCCCGTTTTTAAAGTCTGTGTAGAGGGAGGAGGCAGCTGGACCTGGAGGGGCGGAGCGCACCAGGGGGCGGGGCGCATCGAGACTGTCCGCACGGCTCGGGCAGCCGCACGCAGGTGGTCACGTGAGGCGGCTCCGGTGCGCCCAGACGGCCTTGGCAAAGCAGCTGGTGATTTTACTAATAGAGGCTATTTGAACTTTTTGTCTACCCGAAAACCGTTCTTAATCACGGTCAACCCCAATTGTGGACACATGGTTTCCCTGGAAGCGTGCTCTGAACAGAAGCTACCCATCCCGCTGCGCTCTCCGTGGGAGCGTGCCCCAAAAGTCCTGTCCCTCCGTGTGACTTAAGCTTCGGTCCACATGAGAACACCGCTCAGGATCCTTCGGTGTCCTCGCCGGGAAAGGAAACCTGTCAGTTTGGAAATGAGGAAAGTTCGGTTTGTGGTGGCGATTTTGCCTGACAGACTCCCTAGTTATTTTATCTTAACATTCTCGTAAACAAATGGCCCTCAAATGAGGTCCTTTTGCGTGCAAAGTTCTCCTAGTACAGCGATATCAAGAGTCCCTGAAAGACGCCTCTCCCCTGCCCTGGGCCACGACTTGTCCTTGGCACACAAAGGCCAGCACTGGCGGCACGCAGCTGGCCCTGAGATTTCTCGCGTACAAACTCCTCCAGGTGGCGCCGCCCACTGGAAGGCGCACGGCCCCGCTGGCCTCATCCGAGGCCCTAAGGGGCTCTGGGCCCAGAGCCAAACTGGGGCAAACACTGGGGACAGGAGGGTGGGTCGCTCTGATTCCCGGAGGGAGATGGAGAAAGAGGAGGGGGAGGCAACTCGCTGCGACTGAGAACTCTATGGGGTTGAAAAGTTCTCGTGCTGTCGCCTCCCCCTTGCGTGCGGAGCTGTGCCTTGCGTGCATCGCTTCTGCAGAGTCGGCTTCAGTCATATCCCTCGGCGCTTCTCACGGCACCTGACACGCAGGGGCGGCGACGGGGGCGGCGGCTAAGAGCTGGGTGCAGGCGGCCACCACCCTCCGCAGCGCACGCACAGCCGCGCCCGCCGGCCCAGAGAGTTCAGACCTTCAGGCCACCACCCGCAGGCCAGACCCAGAAGTGAGCTGGCTGGAGATCCGGACGCATCTTTCAAAGGGGAAGCTGGAGGCGTCTGGGTCAGCGTTGCCCTCTGGCTGGCTGCACGCATTCCTACAGGCTGGTACAAAGTATTTTCAAGAGAAAAGGTCTTGACAACAAGGCTGGGGAAAAGGCAAGCCCGTGGGAAGCGTGGGATGTGTCTTAGTTAACCAGGTAGAAATTGTACTTTGGCCCTCAGGGTTCATCAAGCGTAAATAAAAAAGTGCGCTTACCACGTGACAACCCTGTGCTTTGAACTTTACTTGGGCTGCTAATATCTGTTTCCCGTTTGCAGAGGAGGAAACTGGGGTTCAGAGAAGTTATATGACTTACTCAAGATAGCACAGCTATCAATCAAAAGGTGGAGCCAGGATATGAACCCACAAAGTCTCATTCCAGATCTATCATACGAGTTTATGTGGAAGAAAATCCTCAGACAAAGGCACACACGCCATCTTGCCTGTCTGCTCTCCCCATCTCTATGCCTTAAAAAAAAAAAAATCAGCTGGAAGACTTTTAAAAATGTTTATTTTTTAAGCACAGCTGACATACAATATTATATTAGTTTCAAGTGTACAATATAACATTAGATAGTTGTGCCATAAGAAATAATCACCCTGGAAGAATTTTTTTTTTGATAGTTGTTTTTGCTTGCAGAATTGAGGATTGTGGGGATCACACAGAAGAACTATTACGCTCCCTGTTTGCGCTTCCATTGGTTTTGCATGAGGGGGGCCTATGGACTGTGCCTCCACTAGATGTTGGGATCTGGTTAAATTTTAAAGAAAAATAAAGGGATGTCTAAAAAAGAGTCTGACTTCTTGAGAGGCTGAAATGAATGATAATGTATCTGACCTAATAAGAAAATATATCTGCCTTTTTGTAAAAGTCTTCATTCGGTAGTTTTTGAGATGTTCTCTAGAAATAATTTCACACACCACGACAAGCATGCTCACATCCATGGTGAAGTTAGTTTTTAAGCAACTGGTGAAATAAGCATTAGTTTCCCAGAGCTGTGTTCGCCTACATATTCTTTGAAATGAGTTTCATAACAACCTTACAATGTCCAGCTTTAGCAAGACCCTGGCCTAATAATTCACCACTTCTGCATGCATCCATTCTCACCAGACTTTAATTTGGTGGACAGGAATTATCTGTGGGCTAATGCCAGTTCTGAGCTACTGACATTCCTGAAAGCCTTTACCCCTGGATCTCTTCCAGCATCAGAGTGGATGGCGGTCGCCTTTAAACCACGTGAATTCCTATCTTTAAAAGTATAAAGCAAGGCTGTTCCTAAGGCCTCTTGTTTAATTCCTGAATAATGTCATATAGTTTTTAGATAAGCTCAGTACATGCCTTCCTGCCACAGCAAATAGTTCAAGCATAACCACTAAGCTATGGTGGTGCCTTGAGCTTAGCTCTAGCTCTAGGATATGACTTAAAAAAGGCAGAGGAACCAGCTGAGCAAATACCATCAGGAAGATAAGCCCTTATCAATTATAAGAAACCAAAATGAGTGCCTATGGTAATACCTTCTTCAGAATCTGCAGGCCTCGGGTTCTCCCAGGCTTTGTGGTGTGGACCTCTGTTGCAGGGCCCATCTGGTACCTAATGAAGATACAGGGTAAATCTAAAGTGGTCTGTGGGTACCCATGATTCAGCTGAACAAAATGGGTCTCCTCCCTCTAGTGAGAATTCACACCAAGCTCTTTCATTGTCATTACTTCTCAACAAAGTCAGTATCTAAGGCATCAGGGGTCTCCTTTCGGGCAGCAGCATACAATATGGGGATGTCACCCACCCAAATCTGAAACTTGAATTGTTTGCTGCAAATAATTTTCAAAAGAAACAGCTAAGCTAAAGAGACTTCAAGGTAGAGGTTTAAAATACTTTGTATTGTGCTGATCCCAAAGAACGGACACTCAGCCTAAGCTTATTTAAGCAGGACAGGAAATGCACTGGCTCATGTGCCAGGAATGATGACCATGGTGCCTCACAGGGCTGCTCTCCCTCACCTTAATCTGTGTCGGCCTCTGCTCGGGCTTTGTTCTGCAAACTCCACATGGAGAGAGAGCTGACCATGGGCAGTATCAAATGAACCACCTCAAGAAAAACAGAACATCTTTCTTCCAAAGTCATTACACAGGTCCCTGGAAGGACTCGGACATGCCAGGCTGCATTGGGCCTCTTCTGTGGCCAAGGGGCCAGGACTGTTATCAGAAAAAGATGGACAGAATGGGGTGGAACATATTAGGAAGCCAAGACAACAGTTCCATCCGTGCACGCGTTCCCCACTTCTGTCCATCGTTCTGTTTTGGGTTGGAGTATAGCCCAAACCTATTATTATTTTTATTAGTTTAAATCAGCAAGTGAGATAGATGCATTGCTCCTGGAGTCAATAGCCAAGAAAGCTCAGCCCTTGTGTCATCAGGCTAGAAGTTGGGGTTTGTCCTGGGCTTTCTCTCTAAAATAATCTCTGTGTTGATTTTATGAGTAAACACCGCCCTTCCAACCTCCTCCAAACACACATATGCGTGTGCCCTGAGAAGACAGCACGGAAGCGTAATCTCTGCCAAGTCCTTGGCGTGTGAAGTGACAGGAATCAGTAATCAGACACGTGGGGATAGACAGGAAAAACAGGACTAAGAAGACACGCCAAGTGTCCAAGGTGACTGAGGGTATGACAGAGAGAGGAGCGGTAGCATCCCGAACGTCACGTGCTGGGAATTGAGAGGATTTGTAAGAGCAAGTACCAAAACCCTGTGCCCCGCCTGCTGCTTCCTTCCTGCTGGTAATAGGCTGAGAACCATAGAACTAAAAGCAGGTCTTACTTCATCTAACCTAAGGAGCCATCATTTGTAGGATACACCATTATTTTATGTACTAATTTAATATAAAACAGGGGGCTGCCAGCTGTAATGATGCCATTGATGGTATGACACATTCTGATTTCGAAGATGTTAAGAGATTGGTTTAAGTGTGTTTTAGAATGAAGCACTGTGCATGCTAGCAAAGACCCTCTACCTTTGCATTAAGCAGTGGTGGAGCTTTCATAGATGGAGCAATTGGGGTCCGGAATGTCACCTCCTAAAAGCCATCATCCCTTCAATTAATACTATTTTATATGGACAATGTTACTTGATGTTTTTCCAATCCCATGTAAAGTGTAGTAGCAGCTGCTTTGGAAGATTTTGCTAATTTTAACAACCTAACTAAATGTAAGAAAAAGACAGTCACTTGCTAAATCAGTGCAGCTTAAGACAATTTTCTCAGAATTCCTCCCCTTCCAACTGGATTGGCCCACTAAGCTCTTTCCATATGGTCTGGTATTTGTGAAAGCCATAGAGTGACATTATATTATTCTAATTGCCCACCAAATACTTTCATACATATTTAGAAGTAGAAAAGCATCAATACCTGCAATTTACTCTCAAGCATTTCAAGAAAAAAAGGCAGAGAGAGAGGAAGCAAATGAGAGAGAGGAAAATGATAAAGCAAACATGATAAAATGTTCAAAACTGGAGAATTTAGGTAAAACAGAGTTCTTCATGATATTCTTGCAACTTGTCTGTAAGTTTGAAATCATATCAAGGTGAAAAGTTACTCCAAATAAAAAATAAGAGCATAAGAGAGAAATTTCATAACATTATGATCTCACATTGTCCTCCCAGCTTTTGTGAAAAGAACCTGAAACTGATGGAGTCTTTAATGTCCTTCCTGTGCTTCATTGTTCCCTGAGTTCAGGGCTAAGAAGAAGTTTGTGTCAACTGCAGTTTTTTTTCCCCTGCACGATCTGATATGTCCTTTCCCTTCTTGGCTGCCCTTGCTTCCTTAATGATTTGAATGTACCTATGCCTTTTACTGTGAGCTGCCTTCAGATCCTTTCGAAAACAGAAGGAATGTACTATGTAAAGAGTACCTGCCCTCGGTTTCCCCGTGTTCTTTTAAGGAGATAATTCATTTAAATTTCCCTGTGCTTCCTAAACATGGTAAATGGTACAGTTCCCTAAAGGCTTCTTTCTGCTTTCTTTAGTGTCCTCCCTTCTCTGCCTTTTTATTTCCCCTGGCTCTTCCATCTTCCCTCTTTCTTCTCTCCCACTCTCTCTCACCTTCCCTTTCCTTAGGTTTCTTCCCATCTCTTCCTCACCCTTGGAGACCACCAGCCTTTTTCCCAGCTGCCACCGTTGCTCTAGCCTCTCTCTTCCTTTCTCTCTACATCCTCCTGCTGATCTCTCCTCTGTCACAGAAGAGCAAAGAGTCAGGTGGAGAAGGAGAGAGAACTGGGAGTGAAGAAAGTAAGACAAGGGGTCAGGGAGATGGAGCAACTAGGAAAAGAAAAAGGAATAAAATATCAAAGACCGGAGCTAAAGGATAGTGTAGGTGATCATTTGGTCTAGTCTCACAGCCAATCCATGAGTGCCCCCTGCTCAGTATTTGTGGGGTGACGGTCTTACTAACTCAGGACAGTGGTGATTCCATAGGAGGGAAAGGTCTGTGGCCGCTCCTGCACATTTCTCCCCGGGACTTCCACTATCCAGTTCCTGCAATGACCCTCTCTAACAGGGCAGCCAGGAGCTTGCTGCCCACGGCTCTGGTCAACAGAGAAAAACTTTACCGCCCTCATTCTTTGGTCAAGCACAGAAAATCTTTAAGCAGATGAAGGATACTGTTTTTCATTTTTATTTCCTAAACATAAATATTTACCAGGTTACCAAGAAAATGCCTAAAGCAACAATAAGTACAGTAAAGAAAAAAGACAGAATGTACATGTGGGTTCAGCTAAGTCACAGTATCTGGCCATGGGCATGTTGACTGGTGCAGCTTCCAGATTTGAAATGGATTCTTAGTAGAGAATCCGGATTCCAGTCTTCTTTTTTCTCCATTAACCTCTTTGTTTTTAGGGTTAAAGCTGTATTCCCTCACAGGTTCTTTCCTCTCTGCAGAAAGGGACAAACATTGAGGTCAAAAACTGCCGTGACAGCCAGAGCTTGAGAAAATCATCGGTAATGTAATAACTTAAGTGGCTATTTCTCCCCTACGTGTTCCCGGCAGAGAGCACAAGGGCGGGATAATTACACAGTGCCTTTTTGACCATCGGCCCCCAACAGGATTTTTCCATTCTGTGATGGCAGCGTTCATGTTTCAGCTGCGGCCTGTCCCATGGTTGGGCCACTCTGGTTAGAAAGCTCTAGATGTTAGGAAGTTCCTCTTAACCTCAAGAAAAAATCTGGAGTGATTGTCTCCTGCTGATCTCAGAGCTACCCTTTGGAAAGATACAGACCAAGGCCGACTTTCCTTTCACTCAATGGCCCTTCACAAGTTTGAAGATGAGTATAAGACTTGATATCATTCTGGGTCTTTAATTGTATATTGGTGATTGATTTTGTATGACTAAATATGAAATTTTACATTTATTCTTTTTTAAATGTTTTCAGTTACAGTTGACTATTCTTACTAAACGCACCTTGGGGCTTTCAGACAATGTCCCATCCCACAGAGGCCAAGCTAATACTCTCGCTGGCTCTGCCTGAGGGCCAGAGACCAGAACAGGAGCCGGAGAAGGATATGGAGAAAGCATGTGTAGTAATGGGTGACCACCGGCCCACTCTGGTTGACCTCTAAGCCAAAAATCTGTGGACTGTGGTTTATACTATATAGCCACACTATTTATTCTATAGATTATTTTTCTGGTTTGGTGAGATGGAAATTTT